CTAGTCACTTTATTCATCAAGTTCACCACAGTGGAATGAACCGCCAACTAATCCAGCATATGTTTTACACAGCAGATGCCCTTCCAGCTGCAACCCATCACTGGGTTAAAAATAATAATAATATAATGATAATAATCAATAAAAATATAATAATAATAATTATTATAATTATTATTAATAATAATAACAATAATAATAATAATGATAATAATAATAATAATAAATAATAATAATAATAAAAAATAACATAACAATAATACAATAATATCAAATGTAAAAAATAATAATGATGATAATAAATAATAATAATAAAAATAAATAATAATAAATAATAATAATAATAAATAACAACATAATAATAACAATAATAAAATAATAATAATAATAATTAATATTAATAAAATAAATAGTAATAATAAATAATAACAAAAAATAAAAATAACATAATAATAATAATAAATTCATAAAACAAAATAATAATAATGATAAATAATGAGAAATAATAATAATAAATTATAATATTAATACAAATAATAATAATAATAATAATTCTTTATTGTACTGAGCCTAATTGAGACATGCAGTGAGCCTCAGTTCTTCTTCCTTTAACTAATGTTGATTGTCATTTAATAACAGATGAATGACCGTAAACACGAGCGCAGGTGTTCTGTTACCTGTCTGTAGAGGGCGCTCTGTCCAGCTTCTGTGCCATGGTGTATCTGCCAATAACAGACTCTGCTCAAACACTGACAACACATTCAGTTCAATAACACACACCACAGCCACAAACACACACCGGGAACACTTTACCTGAGGAGGTGTTCAAACCTTTATAATCATGTCATTGACGTGAATGAGATTGCATGCTTATGACAACTCTTGAGTGTCTTTCGCTTGGTTATGACAGTTTTAATGCAAATGTGACATTGTTTATTATGACAACTTGACATAAACAAATATATATCAATCTGCTTTTGTCGTTGTCATTAAATCTTGAAGTTTCCTAAGACATAAAAGTGTGTCATAAATCTGTAATAAACATGATGGTGTGTGATGAATATTCTGATCAGGTTTTCAGAGGAACAAACTGTGTTCATCACTAAAGTGTCTCATTAGAAGTCTCATTACTCTGATTAATATTTAATGACATGTTAATGACAATTCCAGCTTGTGCCACTGTAGCTGAGGACAAACGCTGTCAGACTATTGATGATACATTTATAGCGGCTTCATGACAATCATGTTTATGACAGGTTTATGACACGTTTTGATGTCAACGTGAAGTTGTGCTGATGAATACAGGATGTGATGTATTTGTTTATGTCAAGTTGTTCAGTGGATTTGAGCTTGTACTGTAGCTGAAGGCAGAAATGTTACTGAAGCTGTTTATGATTACTTCATGACACATTTATAACGGCTTCATGAGGTACACACGCTGTTTTATGTCATATTTAAGTTGAAAATGTCCTGTCATTCATTTCAGTGCATATCTAGACACTTTATATGAAGTTATTATTGTAACATTGGATGCTTTTCACATATTTAATAATATGCTTTCTGTTAATGTGAAATGCTTCAGTGAATGCAGTTAACTGAAGAAAACAGACTCCAAATACTCAGTGTTTTAACCCAGTGTTGTGTGAATTATAGACAAACCCAATTATTAATTCAAATTGAATTTAAAGCAACCCAGTATTCACTCATGAAAAATACTTTTTAATATTATAATTGTGGCTGTAGTAATTGATTGCAAAAAACACACTCTAAAAATGCTGGGTTGCTTTTTAACCCAATGTTAAACATTTTCTATAATTTAATTTAATTTAATTTAATTTAATTTAATTTAATTTAATTTAATTTAATTTAATTTTAAAATAAAAATACATTTTAAAAAAATAAATAAAAAAATAAATAATAAATGAATTTAATTTAATTTAATTTAACTTAATTTAATTTAATTTTTGTTTATTCATTCATTTAATTTTCTGCTTAGTTCCTTTATTAATCAGAGGATGCCACAGCGGAATGAATCGCCAACATCCAGCATATGTTTTACACAGCGTATGCTCTTCCAGCCACAACCCATCACTGGGAAACATCCATTCACACTCATACACTACGGACAATTCAGTTGATCAATTCCCCTATAGCGCATGTGTTTGGACTGTGGGGGAAACCGGAGCACCCGGAGGAAACCCACACCAACACAGAGAGAACATGCAAACTCCACACAGAAACGCCAACTGACCCAGCCGAGACTCAAACCAGAGACCTTCTTGCTGTGAGGCGCCAGCATTACCTACTGCACCACCGCGTAGCCCTAATTTAATTTAATTTAATTTAATTTAATTTAAATGTACTGAACATTGATTCATTGAATTTTAATTTGGTTGCTGGTTTAAAGTACTTTTAGTTCAATTAAAAATGGGTTGAATCAACACAATTTTTGAGGTTTATTTGGGCACAACTTAATTATTTTATGTTCAAGCCACTCTAATAAAAACGACATATAACTGCATCTATTTGTGTTGGGACACATCAACACGGGGAGAACATGCAAACTCCACACAGAAATGCCAACTGGACCAGTGACCTTCTTGCAGTGAGGCAACAGTGCTAACCACTGATCAACTGTGCCGCCCCCTGACCCAACATCAGGTCAATAAAAATATAGACCGTAAAATCATTCTTGCTGTTGACGATCAACCTAATGTTTCCCACCTCAACTTACATCAATGAAACTGACCCAGAATCATTCACTTACACTTTCTACACTAATAAAACAGAGTTTTAACCTAATTTACCCATTACAATCAGTTCCAGTGACATGAGCAGTAATGCACTGAGAACATGCTTCATTGCAAAATGCTGCAAACAATTTATATGAGCTGAATGTAAACACACAAACTAGATGAGCATCACTAAATGTGTTTAAACTCAGCTCATATTAATGGGCTATATGCACACTGAGGGGCATGTGGCGCAGTAGGTAGTGCTGTCGCCTCACAGCAAGAAGGTCGCTGGTTTGAGCCTCGGCTCAGTTGGTGTTTCTGTGTGGAGTTTGCATGTTCTCCCTGTATTTGCGTGGGTTTCCTCCGGGTGCTCCGGTTTCCCCCACAGTCCAAACACATGCAGTACAGGTGAACTGGGTAGGCTAAATTGTATGTAGTGTGTGTGAATGAGTGTTTGTGGATGTTTCTCAGAGACAGAGGGCATCCACTGCGTAAAAACATGCTGGATAAGTTGGCGGTTCATTCCGCTGTGGCGACCTTTGATTAATAAAAGGACTAAGCCGACAAGAAAATGATTGAATGAATGAATGAATATACACTAAGTTTTGATTTTCAGCCAAGCAGCCAAAGGGCATCCACTGACCTGTCTTTCCATTACAAAACTTGTCACGTTTAAGATCAGATTTCTTTAATATCAGTGATCTTCACAGCCTGTTAGATATACGATATCAAGTGGGTCTCAGATCAAACAACAAGCACTGCATTAAACTCCATTTCCCCCCGACATGTCTTTAAAACACGACAATTCATCTCACTCCAGTTTTGAACGCTTGAAGAGCTAAATGAATGCTGAAGTCTATTGAACAGAATATATTATAATTACATTACAACATTAATGCTGTAAAAACAACCATGAGAGATTGAAAATAGTCCCATTAAGCTATCCCCAGATTATCATCAGCTCTAGCTGTGAATCCATCGTTTATAACCCCTCACCCTAAAATATTTAGTGTGAAACTGGACAATCATACCAGCTCGGTTACTGGCTCCAGTTTCTATCAACTCCTCTTGCTGTCTAAAGTTAAACATTTCCTAAATTCCAGCACACTAGAGATGGCTCTCCACACTTTTATCATGTCACAGTTAGACTACAGCCCTGCGCTGTACTGTGGCATCACAACGTCAACAATTTCTGGCCTTTAGCTGGTCCAACATGCTGCAGCTAGATGCATTTGTAATAGCAGGAAATATGACTTCATTACTCCTCGTCTAAGAGGCCTCGATTGGCTACCTGTGCAATTCAGATAGATTTTACAGTGCTTATACTCGTGTATCAACCCCTGCATAATGTCTTTGTGCTGTTGCAGTTTTACACCCCTGTAAGATCTCTTCGATCGAGTGATCAAAATCTTCTTGTCGTTCCTCAGTCCAGACTGAAACACAGAGCGGACAGAGCTTTCTCTGAGGCGGGTCAGCGGTCATGGAACACTTTCCCCCCTGAGAGATTAGAACGGCTCCATCACTGTCTATTATTAAATCACTCCTAAAAACAAACGTGTTCAGCTTGGCCTTTTAATATTATTTTAATCGTCTTTTCTACTGCTCTATTTAACTGTATTCAGTCGTTTCTCTTGGCTTATGTCTCTTTATTCGACTCTACATACAGCACATGGGCAGTTTTTAAATGTGCTTTATAAATAAATGAACTTGAACTATATCTAATGAATCATTCTTCAGTGTGTGTGTGTGTTTAGTAAAGCTAACTTAGAGATAAATATTGAGAAAAGCGCCTCACAAATGAACTGGAATTTAACAGAATTGAATTATAAATAAGTGCTGTCAAACCCTTAATCACATCCAAAGTAAGTTCATATTTACAAAATATCTGTGTGCGTCCTGTGTGTTGCATGATGATAGTATATACAATACTAGTTTATATTGATATATAGATATATAATATACATGTGTATGTAAATATATTTCTGTAGTATATGTTTGTATTTTGTGTACAGTATGTGTTATATTTACATATATGTACACTGCAAATGATACTGTTGAGTTTGTGTCTTGTTTCTAGTCCAAACATCTACACACTCTTATATCAGTCAGCATTTTCTAGACAAGCAGTAAACACAGTAATATTTTCAGAAATAATGAGTCTGAATCGGGTGAGGCAGTGGTGCAGTAGGTAGTGCTGTCGCCTGCACAGCAAGAAGGTCGCTGGTTTAAACCTCGGCTCAGTTGGCGTTTCTGTGTGGAGTTTGCATGTTCTCCCTGTGTTGGCGTGGGTTTCCTCCGGGTGCTCTGGTTTCCCCCACAGTCCAGACACATGCAGTACAGGTGAATTGGGTAGGCTAAATTGTCCGTAGTGTATGAGTGTGTGTGTGGATGTTTCCCAGAGATGGGTTGGGGCTGGAAGGGCATCTGCTGTGTAAAAACTTGCTGGATAAGTTGATGGTTTATTCCGCTGTGGCGACACAGGATTAAAAAAAGGGACTAAGCCGACAAGAAAATGAATGAATGAAAGAATGAGTCTGAATGAAGACAGATTCTCCTATACAAGCTTAATAATGGCGGAAGAGAAATGATCTTGTTTTTCGTTTAGATTGTCAGATTATTTTGCTTGTTTTAAGGAGAAACTCTCTTCATTTTGACTCATTATTTCTGAAAACAACACTAGTTTTTACTTGTCCTGAAAATGCTTCTTAATTTCAGAATTTTTAGATATCAGGACAGGAAACGGGACACAACATATTAGTCAAAATGCATTTCTTGCAGTGCATGCATAAATATGGACAGTACAAAATATGTAAAAACAAACTTTACCTTAGAGAAGATTAATCATGATTAATTGTTTGACAGCACTAAAAACTTTACGTCCCATATTTTTTACAGTGTGTGAAGCTCCACAATATAACAGAATGACTGCATGTGTTATTATATGATTTACTTAAACTTCACAGCTACACACACACACACACACACACACACACAGAGAGAGAGAGAGAGAGAGAGTAAACGGCGAGAGCTCTTACCGTGGATGCTGATGGTCAGTAAGTGTGTCTCTGCGTCTTGTCAGAGCAACTTACAGGTGATTAAATGGCTAAACGTGTCCAGATTAGAGCAGAAACAGGAGGAACACGACACACACACACACACACACACACACACACACACACACACACATGCAGTTGTTCAGTTAGTCACACTTTATTTTAATCTAACACGATTCACATTATTAACAAACTAAGACTTTAAGCTTAATAAACGGCTCATTATCTGCTTATTAGTAGTTATTGGTGTTGTAGTTGGGTTTGGGATTATGGATCAAGCTTATTCTTTATAAGTGCTGATAAACAGTTCACACACAGCTGTTTTTAATTGGTTTTTCAATACTGTTAGTAATATTCATATTATTAATATGTCACGAACTGAAGAAAAGGGGGCACTTAGATCATTTTGGAAGGGCACTTATTATCAAAGACTAAAAAAGGGCATAAGGGCATGTGCACTGCACAGGTTGAGCCCTATGTGTGCACGTGCCTGCCGGGTTGGACCTCTTTCACCTTCAGATCTGTCTTAATCCTTGGTGTCAGAGATTCAAGAAGGTACAGGAAATATTCCTCAGAGATTTTGCTCCATATTGTCATGAGAGCATCACACAGTTGCCGCAGATTTGTCGGCTGCACATCCATGATGCCGATCTCCCGTTCCACCACATCCCAAAGCTGCTCTATTGGATTGAGCTCTGGTGACTGTGGAGGCCATTTGAGTACAGTGAACTCATCGTCATGTTCATCAGTCTGAGATGATTGAGCTTTATGACATGCTGCGTTATCCTGCTGGAAGTAGCCATCAGAAGATGGAGACACTGTGCTCATAAAGGGATGGACATGGTCAGCAGCAATACTCAGGTAGGCTGTGGCGTTGATGCTCAATTGGTACTAATGGACCCAAAGAAAATCTCCCCCACACCATTACACCACCAGCCTGAACCGCTGATACAAGGCAGGATGATCCATGCTTTCATGTTGTTGAGCCGAGCATCTGAATGTGTGAGCAGAAATGGAGACTCATCAGAGCAGCAACGTTTCTCCAATCTTCTATTGTCCAGTTTTGGTGAGTCTGTGTGAATTGTAGCCTCAGTTTCCTGTTCTTAGCTGACAGGAGCGGCACCCGGTGTGCTCTTCTGCTGCTGTAGCCCATCCGCCTCAAGGTTGGCCGTGTTGTGTGTTCAGAGATGCTCTTCTGCAGAGCTCGGTTGTAACGAGTGCTTATTTGAGTTACTGTTGCCTTTCTATCAGCTGGAACCAGTCTGGCCATTCTCCTCTGACCTCTGGCCTCATCAACAAGGCATTTGCGCCCACAGAACTGCCGCTCACTGGAGATTTCCTCTTTGTCGGAGCATTCTCTGTAAAGCCTAGAGATGGTTGTGCGTGAAAATCCCAGTAGATCAGCAGTTTCTGAAATACTCAGAGCAGCCCGTCTGGCAGCAACAACCATGCCACGCTCAAAGTCTCTTAAATCCCCTTTATTCTCCATTCTGATGCTCGCTTTGACCTGCAGCAGATCGTCTTGACCATGTCTACATGCCGAAATGCAGTGAGCTGCTGCCACTTGATTGGCTAATTAGAAATGTGCATTAACAAGCAGTGGACAGGTGTACCTAATAAAGTGGCCAGTGAGTGTTTATATGTGTGTTTGCATGTGTGTGCATAAAATACTTAAATATAATAACAATAAGATAAATGCTGTATTTAATTAAAAATAATAATTATTATTTTGTATTTATTTAAATTTACATTATTACTATTATTATTTATCATATTTATTTAATATATACTTTTTCCTACATTTATCTATTTACTATTCTTTTTTTTACCATTTTGTAACCCAACATTGAGTCAAATATGGCTGAATCTAACCAATGTCATGTAAATGTAATAAAAGCAATACAATATAAATAAATACTAAAACATCTCACCCAACATTGTTCATATTGTCACCACTCGCTGTCTCACAAAAGGCACAGGATCTTTAATAAACACCAGAATGACCAGACAAAGGAACTAAACCGAACATAAATACACAAGGACTACTGGAAATGAATGCGTACTGGGCTGCAACACAGGTGGAACTAATAAACCAACGGCAGGTGGGAAAACTTTAGTATCTCTTGAGTGTTTGGACTTTCAGTAATGACTTTAAATCACACTGAACTGAGCTAAACTGAACTGAACTTAAACACTACAAACTGAACTACCCTGATCCAGTTACTATGACCATTTATGTGAAGCTGCTTTGACACAATCTACACTGTAAAAGCGCTGTACAAATAAAGCTGAATTGAATTGAAAACAGAACAAAGAAATCACATGACCAAACAAACACACGTGGAGCATGGAAACATGGGGAAGATCACGACACACAACACACAACCTGACACATATTTGACCAACATTTGGTTATGACAATAAATGTGATTATAGTGACAGTCAATGGGGCAAAAACAGCACCAACATGACCTAAGAGGAGTCCATCTGCTCAGAGTCAAAGTATTCTCCCAAAATAAAGTCAGCAAAGATTGATTTGTCAGCAAAAATCATCACATTTGCTGAAACAGAGAAAGATGAGGCCAAATTAAGACTCAAAATCAGCCCAGAGTGGATGAAAACGACCCAACAGCACACAAGGGGTTAATATAATTCAACATTTACTAATGTATTATTAAACTGCACAGTTGTGCTTAACATTGGCTGAGTTAAACCAACAATAAACTGTCTTTACATGAACTAATGTTAACAACGATGGACAAATACTGTAATGTTTGCTCTTAGACTATCGTAACATGTTTACATAATGTTTTAATATGATGAGGATGAAAACACTGGAGAAATGCTCAAACAAGCAGATCCAATTATCAAAATCATAACCAAAACAAACACATCTGTGGTTTATTTATCTGTCTGCAGCTGACTGTGTCAGCAAATATAGCAACCCACATAGCAAAATTTCTCTGGCCCAGCTCTGGCCCACACAATCAGGTTTTGCTTGGCCCACATGCCGCAGTGAATTACGGTACATGACTGGACCAAATCTGGCTTCCAGACAAGGGCCAAACACAGACCATATCTGGGCCAAGCCTCAGCCAAGTTAATAACTCATAACTGGGCCTGAACTGGGCCAGATAGGTTGGTGTGTCACGATTGCAATGAAATGGATAAACCCATGGAGTGATGCGCTTTAGGCACACTATGGGCACGCTTTTTCTCAAAGTGACCTGATTGGTAGAATTTTTTTTCTTTACTCAAAAATGATTTTAGTGTATTTTAAATGTGGGTCAAGACTGGCCAAACTCACATGACCCACTTTCAAATTTTTAAATCTGGGCCAAATACTACGTTTTTCATCTGGCCCAAATCTTGTGTGCCGCCTTAAAGACGGTGCCACCTCTGCCAAACCCGGGCCATGTTTGGCCCACATGCTGTATGCCAGTGCCGGATGAATGCCTGCTGTGCCAGCTTTATGCCAAATCTGGGCCAGAATTCTTTGCTACAAGGCAATACTATAATAATATAACACTAACAGACACACACAGGTTTTATTTCAATTCTAAACAATGTTTGAGTATGGAAACCATAAATATAATAATGTAATAAAGCAGAACCACGTAGATTGAAGTGAATACATGAATAAATACATTTTATTATGGATAAATATTAATAAGTCAAATGATTATTTATATATAAATATTTATATTTAATATCTTTTGTACTTTATGTAGTATCTGTAAGTTATACATACACACACAGACACACACACACACACACACACACACACACACACACACACACACACACACACACACACACACACACACACGTTTATGTTATGTCAATATAAATGTGATTGATGACAGCACTAATGTAAATATATGTCCAAACATATTTATATATTTGATTTTGGCCCTTTTTATCGCTGTATTTATTGATTTTCCTGTGTCTACGCGCAAATGTGTCGCATTTCATGTCAATAGTTTGTAAGCTCAAATGACTTGAAAACTGAAATATATGTTATAGATGCAATATGAAGATAAGGGGTTTAGTTGTGAATTTTATGCTTTTTAAAAATATGTTTCAATACAATTAAATTTATGTAGGCTAAATACATTTCACTTCCGGGTAGGAAAGGCAACATATCTCTTTCTCTCAGTGATTGCGTGTGTGTGAAGTGAAGTCAAAACAGCCCCGAACACACTGCTTTAGAGCGCAATGATGATCAAATTAAACACACCGAGCAGAATAATAACACTGATGTGAATATGAATAGGTGCGTTCGACTTCATGCAGCGCTGCGCAGATCGATCGAAATCTGTCTTAAAGCGGTGCATTCTGGTTAGAAATCTTGTCCGGATTGATGCTGCGCCGACGCCACGTGACTGTCACATGTGGCATCAAAGTACCGCGACAGTGCTCCGAGATCAGACGGCAAACTCAGACCGTGCAGCATCTGAAGAGCGACTGCAGGAGCTCTGATGACGACACCGATATTACACGATTGGCCGAGTTCACCACATGACAACAAACACGTGTATTTCGGGTTTATAATTGGACATATTCCGATTCAAAAGTTTTAAAACAAACAATTCACTTTTCACACCCTCTCTATTCTGTACACATCTTGCTTATTAAAAGACTATAATATTTACTGCAGTATCATCTTTTGTTAAATAATCTGGTTATAAAGGTTAGCTTGTTTGCACAGGTTTATTTTTTAACTTTTTTATACAGACTATTTACTGCATTCATCTCCATGAACGATTTAAATGATATATTTTAGTGTATATTTTAGTGAATAACCTAAATATGAACTCAAATAAGTCTTACAGACTTGAAATAAGAAAATCATCATCATTGATCCTGCCCCCCTAAAGCTCTCTTAACAAATTAAAGTAAAGAACTATTTTGTTAAATAATTATAAAATGGTTTTATTATTATAATATAAATATATATTTTATTTTCTGTCTAGCAGTTTAAAGGCGACCTGCTCTTTCTGGGAAACTTCTACATAGCTCACTTATTTTACCTTTTGTTCTTTTCAACACAATCTTTTTGGATTAAAATGCTTTTTTGAAAATTCATTCATCATCCAAAATAATGTCATTTATTAAGACCTAATCAAAACACCTTGTTTTGCTTTTTACATTGGAAATTTTTATATCTATAAATGTACATATATGTAAACCCTTTTTAGCAGATTCAAACAAGAAGTATTAGCCTAAAGATTGATGTTTAACTCCTAGAATTTATGCTTATTGCTTTGTATTTAATAGACCTGTTCGTTTTTATGTTTATATTAACCTCTCATTTCCTCTTATTTCTCTCATGCATTTGTTATATGTTATTCATAATTCTCTCTTATTGTTTAAAAAGGAACTACAGTTTGAAGAGCCTGTATTCTGTTTTATTTGTAAATGTTTTGTTGTTATAAATAAAAATAACAAAAAAATATGATGACGCCATGTGATCGGTCATCATGACTGCAGCAACTTTGAGTCCCGAAGTGTCCAGCTGTCCGTCTTGACGGCTCCGTTTTCAACTCCGCCCCGCCTGCGCTCGGCTAATCTCGTTGATCACCGGCTGCAGCTGAGCTTCATGTCGAACGCACCTAATATGATCTAATCACGTGTTTAGTGACGTCATGACGCTTCATTTAGAAAGCGAAAGTATAACAGTGAACGCCTTCATCCAGAGTCTCGCCCATTTTCTCTTTATATTTGCTCATTAATGCGCTGAAGGGCTCGTGTTGATCTACAGTCATCATTGTACCGTGTTTCCCGGAGCTCGAGTGTGTGTCTGCGGTGAGTTCTGTCCTCGTGATTCTCCAGTCTGATCAGAAACTCGTCTGCTTCTGGAAAGTGTTAACAGAAATGCGCTCGATCATCGTCCTTCTGCTGCTCAACCTGCTCACAGACTGCTCTGGTAAGAACACGAGTGTGTGTGTGTGTGTGTGTGTGCTGTGATTTATTCTGCTTTAGACAGGGCTGGATGTATAACACGGCCTATGTTGAACATGTGATATGTTTAGGTAAATATAGAGTGTTTGATCCATACTATATAGTATTATACTGTATAATATTTCAACTCTACTCTGGTAATGGACCGCGGTAAAGTTAGTTTTACTTTCGACATTCATTAGACATTCGATTTTCAAATCAATTAAACTCTTTGTTCCTGTTATACTTTGGGCCGAAAATAGGTCAGATAGGCATAAATATGTGCCCTTTATGTTGCACAAGGCTTAATTTCTCGATTAAAAAAAAATTAAAAATTACCATAAAACTGAATTAAACAATTCAACCATATGGAATTATACAATAAAACTAGCACCAGAATATTCAGAAAAACATCCTGCATATTGCACAAGACTCGGTTTTTTGAATTAGCACTCTATTTATTTTATAATATTTTTTAAATATCTTTTAATGTAAAAATTGCAAAGTTCAATTAAACTCTGACACCATTTGAAATAAAATATTCAAATCAACTCTACAATTGTCTAAATATTATTCTCTATGATGCACAAGCTTTGTTTTTTACAGTTATGCCTTTGTTGATTTTATATACAGTATTGAATCCATATTTTCAGTATATTTATTACACTGTAAAACCGCCTTAACGAATTAAACTCTGACACCATTTGAGATAAAATATTCAAATCAACTGTGCAATTGTCTAAATATTATTGTCTTTCATGCACAAGCTTTGTTTTTTACAGTTATGCCTTTATTGATTTTATATACAGTAATAAATCCATATTTTCAGTATATCGAATATACAGTAAATCTCCTAATGAATAAAACTCTGACACCATTTGAGATAAAATATTCAAATCAACTGTGCAAGTGTCTAAATATTATTCTGAATGATGCACAAGCTTTTTTTTTTACAGTTATACCTTTATTGATTTTATATACAGTAATAAATCCATATTTTTAGTATATCAAATATACTATAATTCTCTTAATGAATTAAACTCTGACACCATTTGGCATATAATATTCAAATCAACTGTACAATTGTCTAAATATTATTCTGAATGATGCACAAGCTTTGTTTTATACAGTTATACCTTTATTGATTTTATATACAGTAATAAATCCATATTTTCAGTATATTGAATATACTGTAATTCTCTTAATGAATTAAACTCTGACACCATTTGAGATAAAATATTCAAATCAACTGTACAATTGTCTAAATATTATTGTCTTTCATGCACAAGTTTTTTTTTTTTACAGTTATGCCTTTGTTGATTTTATATACAGTAATAAATCCATATTTTTAGTATATCGAATATACTGTAATTCTCTTAATGAATTAAACTCTGACACCATTTGACATATAATATTCAAATCAACTGTACAATTGTCTAAATATTATTGTGAATGATGCACACGCTTTGTTTTTTACAGTTATGCCTTTGTTGATTTTATATACAGTAATAAATCCATATTTTCAGTATTTTGAATACACTGTAAACCCCCTAAATGAATTAAACTCTGACACCATTTGAGATAAAATATTCAAATCAACTGTACAATTGTCTAAATATTATTGTCTTTCATGCACAAGCTTTTTTTTTTTACAGTTATGCCTTTGTTGATTTTATATACAGTAATAAATCCATATTTTTAGTATATCGAATATACTATAATTCTCTTAATGAATTAAACTCTGACACCATTTGACATATAATATTCAAATCAACTGTACAATTGTCTAAATATTATTGTGAATGATGCACAAGCTTTGTTTTTTACAGTTATGCCTTTATTGATTTTATATACAGTATTGAATCCATATTTTCAGTATATCGAATATACTGTAAATCTCTTAATGAATTAAACTCTGACACCATTTGACATATAATATTCAAATCAACTGTACAATTGTCTAAATATTATTGTGAATGATGCACAAGCTTTGTTTTTTACGGTTATGCCTTTGTTGATTTTATATACAGTAATTAATCCATATTTTTTTAGTATTTTGAATACACTGTAAACCCCTAAATGAATTAAACTCTGACACCATTTGAGATAAAATTTTCAAATCAACTGTACAATTATTTAAATATTATTCTGAATGATGCACAAGCTTTGTTTTTTACAGTTATGCTTTTATTGATTTTATATACAGTAATAAACCCATATTTTCAGTATATCGAATATACTGTAAATCTCTTAATGAATTAAACTCTGACACCATTTGAAATACAATATTCAAATCAACTGCACAATTATCTAAATATTATTCTCTATGATGCACAAGCTTTGCTTTTTACAGTTATGCCTTTATTGATTTTAAATACAGTAATAAATCCATATTTTCAGTATATCGAATATACAGTAAACCTCTTAATGAATTAAACTCTGACACCATTTAGCATAATATTCAAATCCACTGTACAATTGTCTAAATAATATTGTGAATGATGCACAAGCTTTGTTTTATACAGTTATACCTTATTGATTTTATATACAGTAATAAATCCATATTTTTAGTATATCGAATATACTGTAAATCTCTTAATGAATTAAACTCTGACACCATTTGAGATCAAATATTCAAGTCAACTGTGCAATTGTCTAAATATTATTGTGAATGATGCACAAGCTTTGTTTTTTACAGTTATGCCTTTGTTGATTTTATATAGAGTATTGAATCCATATTTTCCAATATATCGAATATACTGTAAATCTCTTAATGAATTAAACTCTGACAACATTGAAATACAATATTCAAATCAA